GACCCACACTCACAGAGGTCAGACCCACACTCACAGACCCAGACCCAGACCCACACTCACAGAGGTCAGACCCACACTCACAGACCCAGACCCACACTCACAGACTCACAGGTTCAGCAGTTTGGATGTTTCGTGTGGATTTTAATTGGCAGAATAACATCTGTATCTGATGTGTTTCATGCTAAATCTGTGTCCTCGTATCCTCGTGTCCCTCCCTCGCTCCTTTCGCTCTCCAGGGGAGGGCATCTGAATCTCTCGCACGCGCTCATAATTTGACCATTCAGATCAGCGCGTGCACGTATCTACGTGTATATGCATAAATACAGGGCCAGTCCACACACACATCATAGACAGACTTAAAAATATAGCGATAAAACGCTTGAAACAGCGAAAAAACACATGGGCTTTACTGCAAAGATGTGCTGCCTAAATATTATAAAATATGATTAAATGAACAGATGAGTCATTGTTGTCACTTTTAGTTTTGTATTTATTTATTAAACCTTGTTTAATAAAGTCTTTAATAAAGTCTTTGTCGTGATCACGTGGTGCTGCGTGGAGCGTCCTCCTCCCTCTGTCCCGCGTGTCTCGGTCAAACCCACTGATTATCGGCTCATGTTTAGGGAAATCTCATTCACGAGTCACTTTACTTTTATGCTCCTTTTATGGTGAGGTGGAGGTGTGGAGAGGGCGTGACGTGACGTAGGTTTACGTGCGCAAATTCTAGTTGCAGGTGGGATTTATAAAGCAAAGATTGCGTGTTTTGGTGCGTGCGGTGGGTTTTCTAAATATGGAGTTTGCGTGGCGCACGCCTTGTCGTAGCTACTAGGCGTACGCACTAACTTACGACAACTCCTGCGCAGTTTTTATAAATGAGGCCCCTGGTGCTTCCCGATGCGTGGCTATTTCTTGCCCGATTGCTTCTTTCAGCGATGTTGTTCAGGGGGCGAGAGGCTGTTGTTTAATGTTTTCAACCAGTGGCAGGCCTTATTGTTTTTTAATAAACCTCAAACTTTTATTATTGTTTCTTGTGTGCGTATCGTCTACCATACAGCCTCAACAACTATTGCAGCTAATAATAATAATTTTAATAAAATAATGATAAAAATAACAACACATAATTAGCCTAATACTGTTAAAGAAAAACGTATTTGATAGCATTTCTGCTTTGTATGACTCCACCGCGTTAAAATATTTCTCAAATGGCAGTGCCCCCCCTGCTGGTGACCCACGCCCCTCCAGTAGATGTGCTCTGACACCGACTTTGGACAGAAGGTGACGCATCAGCGACACAAGGAAAGAATGTCTTTTTGCAGCGTTTACAGTTTATGCAAATGAGCCATGCGGTTTTAAGTTTTGTTTCTGTAAAACATAAACAATTGTGTCAAAGCTGCATTAAACACGTTATAATCTCAGACGGGCTGATGTGGCTCTATAGTGGTTATGGTTTATATATGGTAAAGTTGAGTTTATTCTTGCAGATTAGTAATAGTAATAATAATGATGATAAATTTAATGTAAAAATTTTAATGATTAATCAATAATAGATCGTTAATTCACATGTCGATTGATTAAGACAGTTTAATTGAATGCCCATCCCTAACACGCACCCATATCAATGTAATATTATTTAAGTTATGAAATCATTGTATTGTGTATCTCACGTCTACATACCATTTTAGGAAGCTAAGGTAAAGGATTCTGAGGTAATAGTCAGTGCATACTTGTTTTTCATCAATTCTTTGTGTTGTGTTGCAGTATATTTTAATTTCGTTCATTTTATCTGATCCACCTCATCAAAAATGTATACCCGTCCTCGATATTATTATTATTATTAGTCTATCCATATCGCCAAAACTCAAAATGCTCTGCTCCACCTTGTGATGTCATGAAGTGGTCATTTTCAATGACAGCAGCTACCTTTTATGTTTAGTTCAGCAGAGATTGGAAATTCCAGGGCTGAAATCAACCAAATGATTCTAGTGGAGCACAGCCTGTATGACATCTCAAGGTGGAACTGGGTGAACTCTGCCTAAATATACAGGGTTTGTGTGTTAAACGTGTGAATGAAACAAAAACAACTTAAGATTTTTTTTGATGGGGAAACAGTGTTATAACAGATCAGAAAATAGTGTAATGTGAACCTATTCTAATGTTTTTTTATTGACATCTACATCAAGCACTGAGCCTTTTATTTATAGTATCGAAATCATGTTTGAAATTTTTGTATCATAACGATTCCTTGGTATTCATCATATTCCTAATTCCCATAGTCCGTAGCCCAGTATGTTTTGCGTGTCCGTCTGAAGTGCTGCCCTGTGCCTCTCTCTCACACCTGAGGCTGTCTCCATGCTGTCAAACTCTAACTCAGCTCTCCTGGGAACCCCTTTCGTCCACTTTTACCCCGTCCTTCTGTCCGCACATGGAGACAAGATGGCACCTGCTCTTCTGGACTGTCCATCAGCTCTGAAAAATAACGCCTTTTCATCTGGACCTCTGGCATTTCTCCGTGTGAGAGCAGCGCAGAGGGTCTCAGATCTCCCTGGCTCGGTTTCCTAATGCTTTCCATGCACTTCTGCGAAACACCAAGGAATTCAAGACTATTTCAAGAAATGTACAGTGTGCAAAGTGCAGTTTTATTTATATGCGAAAACATCTTGACCATTCATTCACTCCAACTTTCTTCTTTAAAGGAACCATATGTAAGATTAGATATGTAAGAGCGTAAGAAATTTTATGAATATGACCCCAGATACAAGGTAAACATATTCAAATCAACTTTACCTTTTACTGATAACAATTTATAATGCTGATTTATTCTTAATTAAAACTAAATAATGAATGGGATCGGCAAGTGTATGCGGTAATTAGGTATTTTCTCAAGATGAATATCCAATCAGAAAGCAGAATGAGTCTCATGTGAGTCTCTTGTTTGGGTTTCCAGTTTCAGTGCTGAAATCCAGTTGGTTTACGCTCTGTTTATATTATGATGGTCTGAACAGAAGACGCTAAAGTGGCATTGCGTCTTCACTTTTTATTCTGCGTTTAGACGAGCGTTTTCGCGAGGAAATTTGCGTGCATACAGTGACACAAAAGTGTGTGGAATTCGATTGGGTATGCATGCCAGGCGGCTAGGTGGTGGCGGTAGGTGTTGATGTATGTGATGTGAGCAGATCTGACCAGAGTTTTGCGTCTTGGGCAGTGTAGACGGAAACACTAGCATATTAAACTTTTCCACCCTGGAGGGTGGTTTAAGATTTTTGCCTTTTTAGCCCCAAAAACGCCGTCACCGTCTAAATGAAAGGCACTTCCTATCAAATATTTTGTTGTTTTTACCCGCAAGCATTCTCGTGTAAACAGGCCCTTAAACGTAAAATTCCTCTCTTGGATCTAAATCCTCTTTACCTAAACCCCAACACCTGCAGCCAGTCATGAATCAGTGCTAGTGCATCCTCTGCAGCTCAGTGAGTGAATTCTGGAGGTTTTGAGCTTTCACACGACCCATAACCTGTCCATATGCTGACAATGAGAACAATGTGTATGTATCAGCTATATGCAGACGGAAGCACTGGCACCCAGGTTCAGTAGTGACTATAATACATTTTAAAAACAGTAAGAGCACAGGGTACTAGGGATGTAATAATAACCGAAATATTGTATTATCATATTGTCAAAAATCTCTCAATGATATCGTGGACCATCACAATATATCGAAATTATAATTATCAAAGTTTTTTTTGCTTAAATTCATTGTTATGTTGTAGCATGAGCTAAAAAAAACAGAGTGAACTACATAGACCATGATCCTTTGCTCCATTTCAGTGCAGACTACATTAAAAATATCAGATATTAAACACTTTGAAATCTTGAACTCTTAATTAGTTGGATTATGACAGAATCAAAGTCTTGTCAAGGCTCTTGTCAAAGAGGAAAAAGTAACATATTCACACTTCTATTAGCCTACACAAAATATTGCAATAAATATTGTACCGTGAGATGTGAATTGTGAAAATGTCATACCGAGAAATTTGGATATCATTTCATCCCTTGTAATGCTCTTGTAACTCTTTCATAATTTCTATCAAAGTTCTTGGTTCACTCTTGCTGATTTGCTGCATGTCCCGGGCCCTGTCTCCAGCTCTCTCACCTGAGGAATGCCTTGTGTTGGAGCGGAGGAATGCGTGTTTCCTTTCATGCCTTTATCGGGGTCCGGTGGAGTGTGACCGGAGCCGCTGGGCCCCAGGTATGCCCCTGTGAGTGACAGGGCTGGCAGTGAGGCGGGCAGGTGGCAGCCAAACCCAGGGCTACTGACAAAGCACTCTTCTATCTGCACGGTCATTACAGCTCCAGGACACTTGTACACTGTCTCTGGGCCTGGAGCAGCAGTCCGTGTCTAGACTGGATAATTTCATACTCATTTATGTGAAGCACCCAATATAATCTGGTGTCACAGGCTCCCAGATTAAACTAAACTAGATTAGAATGAAATTAATCTTAGGTGTTTGATAACATGCTAGTCACAACTCAATAAAGAAGGCGCCACATTCTGTTTGGATATAATGGTTTGAATTTCCAGCTGCCTCTTCTGTAACTTTTAATATCCTACTATTGTGTAGGGCTGGGTACTGAAACTCTGCTTCAAGTAGAAACTGACCAAAAAGGTTAGGTCAATTCTGGTACTGAAAAAAAACTAACATTTGTTCGGTACCAACTTTCCTAGTTTTTAATAATTGAGTATTACACATTTTGTCCTCCTTTGGGCACAACTAAATCAAAATCTCTTATTCATTCACTTGTCTCATTCTGTGCTGTGAACTGTTTCTATAGTCACAGCTGCCCTGGAATAGACTGACAGAAGAGAGGCTGCCAAAATGCACCATTGGCCCCTCTGACTACCATCAGTCTCTGTCATGGTCAGTGTTTACAGCACATTTAAAAACACACAATACTGCCCCAAAGTGCTTAACAAGACAGATAAAAATGGAATATATATACGGAATATGGAATACACAAGTAAATATATGAGTCAAAAAATAAAAGTAAATGCAATAAAATGACGTGAAGAACACAGATAGAAAATCTACTTGAGCTAAAAGCCAGTCAATCAATATTAATACTTCAAAATCTATTATAAGGCCCTTCAAAAAACATATTATCAGCTTGGTACGTTTTACTGATATTAATATATAGCATCTCCAATAAAGTGGATGAAGTGTCTTGCCTAAGGACACTAAAATAGCATTGAACTTTGTGATAATTACCTCAATAATGTTTTGAGATACTAGTTTTTATGTGGATTGTAATAACATGTACTTGACTTGAAGTTCACTGTAGTTGCTTTTGAAACTCACCAATACTTGTACCACTGCAAAATACCTCTGTAGTGACATTGGACTTTGACATTGAGCTTGTGTTGTGTCTTTGGTCCTTGTGCATATGTTTCCTTTCTCCTCGGACATTAACTTCAGAGGGAGGGTTAGCGTCACATTTCATCACAGCTGTAAACACTCCTCTCAGCCCTGTACCTAGAGGTCACAGGGTCAGGGAAAGGTCAAGGGTCGTACGGCTCTTTGATCAGGTTCAGGCTTGGTAATACAGATACAATACCAAGAAAATGACTTAAGTGAATTACACGTGAGCATCGGACAGGCCTGTAGTTAATCTGAAGCTAGGGCAAATTAGCTATTGTTGCTCGTCATTCTGTTTAGATGTATATAGCGACTTAATGTAAATCTTTGGTAAGAATCATACATATGTCAATAATTTTATGTAGTCCTAACGTCTGGTGTTTCTTTTCTCATAAAAATGAACCTATAATCAATACTGGGATACAGACTCCTGTCCCATTATTTTAAACTAAAGTCAACAGTCCTATTTGCCTATACAATTTTTTACTTTACATTTTCATCATGTAACCTTTTTTTGTGTGTGTGTTTTCATCAGAGACAGTGGATCTGCTGCAGCACATTTCTCAGGCTGCAGTTTTGGCCAGTGATGTCTCCTTATACATTGATGACCAGAACTGTCCCTCTCTACACTTTAACTCTTCTGGATATGTGATGGTGTCCACTGAACAAGCTTTTGGACAAAGGTAAAGTCCATACCGGCTTGTCAAAGCCTGATCTTGTCAGATCTCAGAAGCTAAGCAAGATGAGAGACCACAGGGAAACCAGGTGCCACAGTGGGGAGTCAGTGCAAAAACTGTTGTTGTGTCCTTAGACAAGACGCTTCACCCACATTGCCTAGTATGAAAGTGGAGTGTGCGTGAGTGAAGGTGGTGGTCAAAGGGGCCAGTGTTGCAGATTGCCAGCCTCTCTACTGTCAGTCTGTCCCAGGACAGCTCTGGCTACAATAATAGCTTACCACCACTGAGTGTGGAGTGCATGAATAACGCTCTGTAATGTACTTTGAGCGTCATGAAAGACGCTATATAAATGCAATTATTAATTTATTAAGTTTTAATATATATATATACATATTTTTTTTACAAATGTTAAATTGTTTCTATCGTTGCACCACGTCATCTTCACAGCCTGCTGCAGTGCTTTTGCGTGGGAGTTACATCAGAGGACAGCCGTATGGTTATCATGGGAAATTTAAGTTTTGCTGCAGCAGCATTTACACTGCATTTCTCAGTGGCCTTTGTGTCTCAGTCAAAGGTCTCGATTTAACAGGAGGACTGGTCAGGTGGGGTCAGCATCTGTATCAGGGCAGTTTGAGGAGAGGGTACATTCACATGTGTGAGTAAACTTTCTGCAGCACCAAAGCACGTCATGTAGTGTGGGACCATATGGACTTTACAGCCGTCACATTTTATGTTTTCTAAAACATCCAACATCACAGACCATAAACATGAAACATCACAGTCAGTCACCTCAAGTAGCCTAGACCTGCTGTTTAAGCACCACCACACACCAACTCTTCACACCAATACGAGTTAGCAAAATCGTTCTATTCCTTTCATGTAAAATATAATTATATATAATTATATGAAATATAATTTTAAAAGAACTGTAATGTATGTATTGAATTGAAAAAAACAAAAATAATTTAGCAATCATATAGTTTGGCCATCTGTATCATTTAAAAAATATATATTTTTACACCCCTAATTGTAAGTTTTCAGAACACAGTACTCTGCTTGAACCATGAACTGGAATATGTTACACTTAATGCAGGTGTTCAGTATTCTGTATCTAAATGCATATCCTCCCCAACACTGTCTATATTTGAAAATACACACGTTGGTAGTTATTTTATATCCTGTAGGCTATATATTAAAGCATGTTTATTTCCCTGCAGGTTTTGTGATGAGTTCAGTGTCCTTCTGGAGCTCTGGAGTCCACAGTTGGAGGAGAGCAGTGTTCTGACTGTTTTAAACTCTGAGTATGACATCCACCTGCAGCTCCAGCTCAGCCCTCGCTCCCTCACCATCATCTCCACACAGCACAGACACTACCAGTGAGTCACACAGACCCTTTAACGTTATGAACAGAAACAACCTCACATTCATCTCTTTGTAGCATCTCCACTAAAACAAACAGGTGGCAGAGTCTTCACCAGAAAAGTTACAGAGTTCACCTTTAAAGCACATAAACACTGTATGTTTTCTTAATTTTAATTACGAATAGTTAATTGCAATAGAGAATAGTTTGTGATGGATTGTTGATTGCTATGGATGCTGGTGTTTGTTTTACATTGTACTGGCAAGGGATGGCACAATTCATACTCAAAGTAATTCAGAATGTTTACAGAATAAGAAAGACATTAAAATCACAGTACAAAACATAAATAATCATCTTAAAATTAACATTAAAAAGAGAAGAGAGAAGAGTGCAGAATAAAACTTAATTTAAGTAGAGGCCTGTCTCACATCTTCAGCTTTTAACCAGGTTTTTACTGCAACCCATTGATACACCCACTTGATACTGTACATTTGTTGTGATTGTTGTTACTTTGTCCAGGTTTTCAGTGGGTCCTCTTCTGGACAGCGTCTCACATCGTATCTCTCTGGGTGTGTCCCCTCTTTGGCTGGAGGTCTATGTGGACTGTTCCCTGGTGGAGAGGCTGAACTGGGCCTATCCCTGGCTCCCTGTATCCACAGACGGCCTGGTCGTCATAGGAGGCAACCTGGAGACAGGCAAGACATCCTTCCAGGTACAGTGCACAGAAGGTAAATGGTGTTAGATTCAGACTTTGACAAACTTTATTGATCCACAAAGGAAATTATTTAGACACAGTAGCTCACAGCATATTATAATAATAAAGAGAAATTGTATAATAAATAAAAGTAGCAGAAATAGCAAGAGATGTCAAATAAGGCATAGTTATATAAATAAATTAAAATAAAATATAGCAATATCAAAACGTAACATGAAGTCTAATTAAACTGAACAGTATTATCGGAGTTGTACAAAATTTGGGGATAAAATTTTATGCATGACTAAAAGCAAAGAAATATATTACAGACATGGGGCATTTTTCATGGATAACACACACGGGCTTAGTCCGATCGTACTGAAATTTCATTCACTAATGCGTGATCTCAGCCTGAATATAATACCTATGCCTAAAGCCTATGAAAAATGTACACTATAGCGCCCCCTACTATAGAAATGAAATGTCAACATTACCGGATTTGAACGTTATTTGGGGATTAATTTATATGCATGATTACGAGCAAAAAATGACATTACAGACATCAGGAATTTTCTACAGTTGGCCAGCAGGGGTGTAAAGACTCCTCCCAAAAATATAAAAAAAAAAAATCTTTGACCAATCTTGCTGTAATTTGAATTGCTAATACATGATCTTGGCCTGCATATAATATACTATAAAGCATATGAAAAGTGTATTCTATAGCTCCGCCTACCATACAAATGCAAATGAGCCATTAAAAATAATTTTTCTCAGAATTTTTTTTACATCATATTTAAATTTTTTCTATTTCCACTTTACCAAAAAAAAAAAAAAATCAAGCAATTACAGCTCTGGCTGACATGTGAATTCAAGTTTTCACATCTGAAACAATAAACACAAAAAACTACCACAGACATTTAAGAGAACAGCATAATATTAAAACAATTTTTTTTTATTTTTTCATAATGATCAAATCATTATGAAATATTAATAACTGTATTGAATCAAATGTAATTACTGTTTTGCAATTTCTGTAAAAAAGTATTGAAGAAATGTGTGTTCAATATGTGAATAACTGTAATTTACCTGAATATTACTTGCACCATTGCTTTGCATTGATTTGTGGATGATGTTGACAGAAACATGGGAATGAATTTGCTTGCACATTTTTCTTGACCTGCCTAACTGCCTGTATGAAGATTTGGGGTGAGAATTCCTCTCTGTAGTTGACCTAAATGTGACCTTTGACCTCTCTTCCTGGTGTCCTCAGGGTGAAGTGAGACAGATGACCTTTGTGATGGGCAATGCAGACGCAGCCAGAGACCACTGCACTCACCAGAGACCTGTCTGTAATCCTGACAACTCCAAAACTACGTGGGTAGGTTTTTTTCAGTGTAAAAGGATCACATTTTATTGTACAGATGTTGCAAGCCATTTTGAACTACAATTAACCTGCATACAGAAGAATACTAGCTAATGATGTAAAAAACAAACATGATTCGTTCCCAGTTCTGACAAGTGTGTGCTGTTGTGTCCTCGGGCAACACATTGACCCCACCTTGCTTAATTAAGTATAAATGTGATGTGTGCATTTTGGTCATAGGGGCCTTTGGTGCAGATTGACAGACATCTCTGTCACTTACCCTTGGGCAGCAGTAGTATTAGAAGTAGTTGACTCTTGCATGAAGAACTTTGAGTGTTGAAAAAGTGCTGTAAAAACAATGCAATCTTAAAATGATCAATGGGAAATTAAATAGAATATACAACATTAAAATGTCTGTATTTATTTCCTCTCCATACAGGACATTTCAGCAGACGTCTGGTCTCGTGATGCTCCTGATCATTTTGAAGTGTTGCCAAATGTAAGATTTCCACATCTGGTGAGTTTTTTGAATATGATCTGCTCGTGTTATTTATTTATTACATACTAATATATCCAACTCGAAAAATCAGAATGATATGCTTGAGATGACATATTTTGTACTTGGCTTAAAGGTGCATTGTGTAACTTTTTCTGGTGGAGGGTCCTTCAAATGTTTTTCTCCATGAATATATAATAATATAATATCACAGTATTGTATTAAATCTTTCTATCAGACAAACCAGACCAAGTTACAGGTCAAATCTATGGAGAGGCAACCTTGCTCACAGTTAGAAAGTTTGTTTTGCTAGATATTTTTGAGCTATAAAACCACCTGTAATTTAATAAATGTAAGGTAGATATATTTAATGTCATACTGTGGAACATTCCAGGCAGTGAAATGGCATATCCATAGAAACAAGCAGGTGATGGACCCTCAACTAAAAAGTTAGATTGTCCACCTTTAAACTTGAGGGGGGAAAAAAGCATATTAATGAATACATTAATTATGGTTTTGGTCAATGTTAATGGAAAAAAGAAACTACTCCACAGCCTTTAAAAACTGTCCAAACACTGACTTTTAGACCTCTGGCACTGTAATAAAAGCTACATTCAAATTTATTAAACAGAAATCCAAACACATTTCGCTGATTTGTAGTTGGCCTTAATAAAGAGGTCCTTTTATATTCCCAGATGAGCACTGGGTGGTACTGAGCTGGTGGTTTGGGGAAGCCTATAGGAGTGTGAAGGGATGTGTCAGTTTTGTTTACGATGCCATTGGGAAAGACGGCTTGGCTTCATTCAGTCAGTCAGTCGTTCATTCATGTTTATTCATTGTCTTGGGCATGCTCAGTGTGGATCCCAGATTTTTCCACATTAGAGAGAGGAAGTGCTTTGCAGGCGGTCTGGAGTCTAGTGGTTTGTTAATACAGTAATTAGGGGTTTGAATGGGAAAAAGAATGAATGAATGAATTATTGCTATTGCCTCTATTAAAGGTTCAGTGTGATCTGGTGTATGGTAGTCAGTGGTAGAATGCAATGAAGTAAACATAGTAAAGTAGTAGTAAGTATAAATTTAGTAGATTTTAAACTGGATACTTTTTACTTTTACTTCAACACATTTGAGAGCAGGTATCTGTAGTTCTTACTGCACTACATTTGATGGACCCTTCACCAGAAAAGTTACACAATGCACGTTTAAAGGTTATGTTTGAACATTATTTCAAATCTAAGCACAGGTTTGTTTTTGATATTTTTTCAGTTTGTTTTTTTTTCTTTTTTTTTGTCAGTTTTTTATTTATTCATTATAGAAAATGTGTTTAGTAATCTTATTTTGCATAGGTGCACAGCAATAATCTTTACACTAGGGGTGTCAAATTATCGCGTTAATTGCGATTAATTAATTACAGTCATATTTAGCGCATTATGTTTTTTAATCGTGTTAATCTTATTTTTAATCTCTAACTTTACTGTTTCTATATGCAAGTTGCCTTATTATAAAATCTGTTTTTATGTGTTGTTAGGACACAGTCCCGCACTGTGCAGTCCTGCTCTGCTTGCTCTCGCAAAGAATTGTAGCCTAATTTTCATTCCCGTTCTCGCCGCATCTGCGATAAACCTGCACACGTCTGATCTCTGAAAACATCGCGACACAGACACAGAACAGACTCACCTTCAGCATAAACATCCCTCTGTCACAGAGAGAACATCTATATTCCACTGAGTCGTGTCCTTTAGTAGAAGCTGAACCGCATCAGCGCACAAGAGCGTTTTTTGTTTTTTGTTTTTTTTGCTTAGTTTATGCAAATTAGCCATGCGGTTTTAAGTTTTGTTTCTGTTAGACTTGTGCAAAGCTGCATTAAACACATTATTATTGTCAAACGGACTGATGTGGCTCTAGAGTGGTGATGGTTTATATGTTGTAAAGTTGAGTTTATTTATGCAGATTAGTAATAGTAATAATGATGATACTTATATAAAAACGTTAATGATAGTTCGAAAATAATGTAATAATGAATTTAAATGAAAATACCTCAAGTTGAAGGCTTTTCTCAGCAATTTTTAGGTGAGATTAAAAAATATATTGATTAGATTAATTAATTACAGATCATAATTTAATTAATCTCTCAAATGTTTTAATCGCTTGACAGAACTACTTTACACTCCCCCTAATTTCAAGATACACTTTTTAGCTGGACATTTAAAGGTAGTTCAACATTTCTTGTAAAGGTAGTTTAATTTTTCAGCCACCTATTTGTCACTGTGGAGATGTTTCTTTGCCTGGGGTGTTCCACAGTATGACAAGAATCAATCTTCATAGAAACAAGCAGGTAACAACAGAAGGCCAAGAGTCAGGTCAGATCTGTGGAGAAGCACCTGGCAAACCCCTAAATTAAAAAAGTTGTGCACCTTTAATAACACCTGCTTTCTTATCCTTGCATCTTTTTGGTTTCAAGATAATGTACACTTTCTCTATAGGGAAATTTTTCCTATGCCTTTGACTATGGACATAACAGTAACAGAAATATTGTGTATCTTCAAAAGTCTCAAAACAATATAATTTGCCATCACTATATTGAATTACAAGTCTTAAATTAACATTTTTTTTCATTCTAATGTCTTTCTTATTCCGTAAAGCTCTTTGAATTACTTTGTGTATGAATGGTGCTGTACAAATAAACTTGCCTTGCCTTGCTATGGTGCAGTAATAGCTAAAAAACAGAGGGAACTACATAGACCATGATCCTTTGGTGTTGTCAGTGCAGAGTCCATGAAGAAATAACTGTTATTAAGCACTTTTAAATCTTAATTCTTCATATTATAACATTACCAAAGGCTTATCAAGGCTTTTCCAAGGCTTTAAAAAGGAAAAAGGAAAAAGTTGAACATTTACAATTTAAAATATTGTTATAAATATTGAACCGCGAGCTGCATATCGTGAAAATATTGTATAGAGGGATTTTGATATCGTTACATCTCTGCATTTGAGCCATCCTTCAATGTCGCTGGTAACGTGTGCTTGGTGACCCATTTCCAGATTTTGAGTGAGGTTTGGTCATGACTATAGCTTCATTTTTTTCATTCTGTGTGTTTTAGGTTGATGGATTGAATCTTATTTCCACGATCTCCATTTGGAGTCATTTTATTTCTGTGTCATCTTTATTGGTTTTTACTCTTGGGCAATATTTTAGGAATTTCCTGAACACTGCTTTTGGACAACAGTTGACAGTCAGGGGTCATAAAGTCACTGCTGATTTAAAAGCTCCATATTGGCTGAAGTCAATTGTTCAAATAGAAAAATGAAACATCAACTTGTAATTTTCACTTCAAAGTTTTTCCCATAATGAAGACAAGTCGCCGAATAATGTCTAAAGATTATTAGAATATTTTAACTTATGGTCAACCATTTTAAGTTATGGCAGCGGCTATAGCAGCTGCTTCTCCTTATAGACAACACGCATTTGGATTCAGGCCCAAACTATGTCTTTGTTGTAATCCAGTGCAGGTGAATGTATTTTGGAAAATCTATATCCTTTCAAAATGTGACATAGAAAAGAAAACAAACTCAGATATATGATTTAAAACTTAAGTCTTAAATTTCACTTTGACTTTGAAATCACTATTGAGGTCAATTTAGGTAATATAAAGGTAAATTTGTTGATAATTTGTGGTTTGTTTTCTTTTAGATGTATGTCTCCAAATTACAGTTTTTTATGTACACATGAACAAAGCCCTCCATTATAGTACTCTAGTGAATAGTTACTGAACATGTTGTGAAGAAATCGCACTTTTTTGGGGAAATTTATTTTATAAAATCAGAGACCAGGAACTGACTTTTCATCTTGAAAGACAAGTTCTAGTAATAACAATAGAACAGAAAACAACAGACAGTTAACGTCACATATGAACAGTTCTTCAGATAACTATAGCATAAACAACAGAACAGAACAAGTTTACCAAACTCTCCATCTCACTCCAAATCACTAAATCCATTGAATTCTTCATCCTCAGTGTCACTTCTGAGCAACTCCGTGACCTCCCGAGGTAAATGGAGCGCCGCTTCCTCTTCTGTGTAGCTGTCATCAGACTCAGCATCAGTTCCAATTAGAATTATTCCGGCCTTTCTGAATCCCGACAGGATGGTTTTGGTTGTCTTTATAAGTTTGTTTAAATTTAAAATTAAAGTAATTGTGCGATCAACTGACACTATACCAAAGTAAAACTTTTTAGGGACAGGTTATCAGATATTGGTGAAACTGGTGGGCCCTTCCCCAGATATCGGTATCGATCTAATATTGAAAATTTAACCATATATTTGACACCAATATTTTTTCTGCATCTCCCCATTCTGTGTACACATGAGTCATTCACAGTTTGTTGTCAGTACATCACAGCTGACCTTTTGAACTGACAAGTGAGTTATTATGGAAAAAGAGAAACTCAGCTATAAATATGTCATAAATATTATTTTTAGAAATTTGTGAACTTTGCTATAACTTAACATACATTTGGATTTC